CATATTTAAATAACTGTTAACATTAGAATTGATCCGCAGCATTAGATTGAATATGCATGATATGTATAGATCATTCAACATGCAGATATTGTCAGTTTACTATTTGTAGGCGTTATTACAATTAAAATTTTAATAATAGTTTATGTGTTGGGCAATCAATAGAAGATAAAAGGAATCGGTAAAGAGCAAAAATTATCAGCAAGATAAGACCTACATACACATGAGTCAATAAACCTGAATTGGGAACAAAATTCACTTCTTACTTTTTAAAAAGGCACTTAAATGATGATTTTTGAAATTTATTTTTTCGAATTTTTTGGGCAAAAACTTTAGTACATAGAGAGAAACTGCAAACACAAAAAAGAATACTTAGTTAATGTTTGAAATGCACATAGATCTAGGTGATGTAATATTTGAATTTGAATAAAACATTGTTTAACAACAACCCATACTTGTATTTGAATGAGTACTTAAATTTCATACATCCCAGTGAAATTGGTTTTAAGGATACTACTAAAGTAAAAGGTTTGCTTCATATCTTGATGTTTTCCCCGACACTGACACAGAGGGACAAATGCAAACTAGAATATGCAAACGTGATGATTTCAATTTTCCTATTGTCAAACATTTCGCAGCAATAACATATTTTCTTCTCCGTCGTATGACGTTTACAAATCACAATGTATTCTGTAGTGTTTGCTATATATGCTTTAGTGTATCAGTATAGAAAGAGGGATAACTCTGTTATATATTGGAACAAATTATGTAAGCTGCTTATTTCCCATTGTACTGTGTTATGCAATATCCTGAGTTTCCGGATAGATAATAAATAATGTACCTTGAATGGTGTTTTTTTGTGTTCCAGTATTTGGTCTAATCCGAGTGTTTATTGTGATAGACTATATTTAAATTGGCGACGAGGATAAACAAAGATTGTTTTACAATATGGGAACTGTATTACTGCCAGATGTTAACGGAATACAGAATTTTGACATTTCTGAGTCGACAGGAATGTCTGCACGATGGAAACCATGGCTTCGGGCGTTTCAACTTTTTGCAGCGGGAAAAGGAGTGACAGATGCAGAAGAAAAAAATGCATTATTATTGCACACAGACGGAATGAATATACAGGACATTGTCTTCACATTGCCGGAAGGTGCAGGAGAATGTGCGTATGAAAAGGCGGTGAGTGCTCTAGACGCTTATTTTACACCACTTTCAAATGTCCCTTATGAACGATCAATTTTTCGATCTATGACTCAGTCTTCTTCAGAGACGATTGAACAATATATAACGCGTCTTCGACAGAGAGTTGATACATGTGATTTCGGCAATCAAAATGCAATTGATGAAATAATACGGGATCAAATTATTGATAAGTGTTTAAGTCACCATCTCAGACGTAAACTGCTTGAGAAAGGTAGGACACTAACTTTGGCAAATGTGAGAAGTATTGCAAAAGCTATGGAAGATTCAGAACGACACGCAAATCAATTGAAGGTCAAGGTCAAGTCAACATGATACAGTCAAAAGGTAAACAGTATGGGAGGAAAAGTTTAATTCTAGTAACAAAAGTTTTAATTTTGGTAACAAGTCTACATGTACATCAATGTGCTACAGCTGTGGACGTGAAGGTCACATTAGGACTGACCAGAGCTGTCCGGCTCGTGGGAAGAAATGCAGGAAATGTAAAATCGTTGGTCATTTCGAAAATTTTTGTAAAACTAAGGATAAGTCGAAGAAAGGAAAGATTCGTCATGGTTGCTGAACAACCACAGAACAACACGTATGATGAGGAATATGTATTCAGCATGTTCAGTGTAAATCGGATAAATTCCGTGTGTGAAAATATTGTTGTCAATATTGGGAATGTGGATTTAAAAATGGTAATTGATTCGGGAGGATCCGGAACATCCTGTAACATAATGGGAATAAATTTATGGAATTATTTGAAAGATAACCGTGTGAAATGTGTTTCGTCCAAGTCTACGAAGAGTTTATTCGCATATGGTAGTGAGGAACCATTGAAAATCACAGGAATATTTACAGCCACTGTACAATGTAACAATCATGACAATAGAACCGTTAAATGATATTGAATTTGTTGTTATTGAAGGCAAAGGCCAGGCTTTGATAAGTCGTAATACAGCAGAACAGATAGGTGTGTTGCAGCTAGTTCACAATGTCAGTGAATCTGGAACAATTAAGGACAAGTATCCAGAGTGTTCTAAATGAGTTGGTAAATTGAAATCATTTCAGTTACAGATACCAATCGACCCAGATACTGAACCCGTTATTCAGCCTATGAGGACGGTACCGTTTAATCTGCGAGATAAACTTGCCAAGAAGTTAGATGAACTTTTAGATTTAGATATAATTGAACATGTCGATGAACCTAGTCAATGGGTTTCTCCAGTAGTAGTCGTGCCAAAACGTTCAGGTGATGACATCAGACTATGTGTTGACATGCGCCAGGCCAACACAGCTGTGAAACGAGTGCGACATCCGATTCCTACAATAGATGAACTATTGCAAGAAATGAACTCTAGTAAAGTGTTTAGTAAGCTTGATGTAACTTGGGCCTATCACCAAATTGAGTTAAAACAAGAGTCTAGGGAAATTACTACTTCTGTAACTCATAAAGGCTTGTTAAGGTATAAGCGCCCTATGTTTGGTATTAGTTGTGGCCCTGAATTATATCAAAATATCATGCAACAAGTCCTTCAGGGCTGTGAGGGTGTTCATAACATTATGGATGATATTATTGTACATGCTAGTAACCAGGTTGAACATGATAAATGTCTTGAAAATGTTGTTAGGGTACTGCAAGCCAAAGGTATAACTTTAAACAATGATAAATGTGAATTTAATATGTCCAAAGTAGTGTTCATGGGTCATGTCTTGTCTTGTCGGGGCCAGCAGATGTCAAAGTCAAAGCTGTTGTTGAAGCACGCGAGACAAGAACTTCAGCAGAAGTTCGTAGTTTCTAAGGTCTTGTTAATTAAAATGCAAGATTTATTTCTGACTTGGCTACTATTTCAGCTCCGCTGCGTGCACTTACTCGTAAACATGCCACGTTTACATGGAGTACAGACGAACAAAGGTCGTTCGAAGAGCTAAAACGTCGTCTTGCCAATGCGGAAACTTTAGATTATTATGACAAATCGGCACTGACAAAGGTAATCGCAGACGCTAGTCCAATTGGACTTAGAGCCATGCTCATACAAGAACATAACGGTGAGTTGCGCATTATTTTTTATGCGAGTAGGAGTTTAAGTGATACGGAACGCAGATATTCTTAGACCGAAAAGGAGGCGTGCTACTTACACAAACATGTTCCAACAGAGTTATTAGTAAGAACGACTGAAATCGACACCCGGTCTCGCTCCCTTTGGGGCTTCATACGATTCTCTTAGTTGTTGTTTGTTTTTACGAGATTTACAATCGGTAATCTACTGTAGCTTTATCTTCAGTTAGATGTCTGTCTGACCTTTTCTCCTTATCTTCTTACATAATATATAAAGAAGTATAGACAAAAGTAGCTTACATTGTATTTCAACCTTTTAACATTTTCATCAACGTTTGAAAGTAATGTTCGATAAATTCTTTTAATTTCGCAAAACAGATGTGTAATCTGTATAACTTTATTACTGAACGGCAGTTATTTTATTATATCTTATGACATTTCCTCGTTACATTACTTCGGTGTCATTTGGCAAAAAAATGAAAATGCTTCATTTATGGATGTTTAGATAAAAATCGAATGTACAATGTATGCATACTAAGCAATGTATTCAAAATTAAAAGAAAAATGTTATCTAAGAAAACTAATTGATTAAACATAATGGAATCAATGTATACAAAATTCGAATCCAGCTAGTTCATTTTCACTGTTATACGCGAGTATTACTATTGTAGAATAAAGTATGATGGGAAAAATGGTGTTTGTTAACGTTTTGAAGATACAAAATACTCAATTTGAATGTATAGTTTAACACAATTTCATTAAAATATGACTTTACAATGTACACCAACAGGATTAAAGACCAACAAAGTGGTATTTTAGCTCAGAATATAGAATATCGATTATTAAAAGTTTGTTTCTTTAACTAGAAGTGCGATTCATTATCAATGTAAGTGCGATCATTTCTGATGTGGGATTTTTTGAGGTGCGACGAATTTTCATTATGGTTTAAAATGATAATTGGACATGCAAACAATGACAATATTCATTTGATGACTTTGATATTGATGATATTTACAACTTTGAAAATTCATTCTTATCGTGCATGCTTACTTGAACATAGACGGGAAATAATCGCCGTATAGTTGATTCCAGACGTTTTCGTACTTGAGATATAAAAACCAATAAGCTGAGAGAAGCCAATAAATTATTTTTAAAATATGCTGAGTAATGTCCACAATTTGTATACAAAAATGTATTGTAAGCGTTGTATGCAAGTTAAGTCATAAATATAAATTTAAGACTCCAAATCTTAACTCGAACTATACTAACTGTATGATAAACGCACGTGTGTTTACAAACGTTGGTCACAAAAACTTCCTTACAACTGCCTCAAAAATCCAAACATAAAATAAATTTAAATGACACCTGATGTATGTGTAAATAGTGAGCGTAATACTGTCTTACTCTAGATTGGTAATTATTATGATTGATTTTCTAAAATAATCATCAGTTTACGAAATCGGTTAAAATTTGTTATCAATCTACATCAGAAATACATTACAGATACAGTAAAAATTGTATTTCAGTATTCGCACTTTGTACATGTACATGTATACACTGAGAAATGTATTAGCCGAATATTAAGTCTGAGGAAACGATTCATTAATTTAGAATAATAAGAGCTTTATCTTCATCGAATGAAATTTTTAATAATTGGCAGGTAAATCCTTTCTAACAATGTTAATATTGTACGCCCTAAATTGATAAGTACATAAAATGTCATTTATAATTAATCAATATACACTACTTTCGGTTATGAAAAGGTAAAGGCTCATTCATATGCTTTTCATTTCCCTTGTTGCATTTCTGAAAACAACGATTACTGGTAAGTTTTTTGTTTTGATACGCAGTGATTCTAAGGTTGTGTGATACAAAATGCATTATTTTCACAGTTAGGGTCTAGTAAATGTGAAGTTGTTGTTTTAGTCATAATATTCTGTGTATATAGAGACATCAGCTATTCTTCTTTGGGGAAAAAATCTAAATCTATATTTAGACCAAGACAAGACGTCATTCGAAATAGAGACAAATGTTATGTTTACATGATACTTTATCACTAAAGTTTAATTTGGTTATAATAAATACTGACAGTTAGGAATTTACAATCATCAGATTAGCGGACGTGTCTGTCAATAGTTTTTTTTATCTCGAAACATAGTCCACAGCGTTCTTTATGGGCGTAACTTTCCCATGACATCACATTACTTGTTGTTTTGTGTATACTGATGTTTTGCAAATTGAAACCATTATAATAATTAAATAAACATGTATACTCTAATTGAAAAGTCATCACTGCAACCCACGATAAATATATAACATTGGCGACGAGGATATGGAAAACATTTTTAAAGGACTTTATTTTTACAATCTGCTGAAATTTTAACACACACAAATTCGTTAGAATGCCTACATATGGTCGGATCGAGATGTTGTGGAATATATCGAATGATCGATTATAATAACAAGAAAAGGTCAAACTTTCTCAGTCTGTGGAGAAAAGACCTATAGATAGTTACGGACTTATGTGCTCCAGCAAAGCAAAACACAAAGACATTTGACAACCTGAAAGACATTTTAACTGAGCATTTATGACCTAAACAAATGATTATTGCAGAACGATACAAATTTCATCAATGCAAACTGGAAAGCCATGAAAAATTGATGGATTATTTAGCTAATCTAAGAATACTGGCTTTTAGTTGTCAATTTGATGCATTTCTATGGGAAGCGTTAAGAGACAGACTTGTTTGTGGAATGTATTTAAAAACCATCCAAAGGAAATTGATATCCGAAAGTGAACTTGATCTGCAAAAAGCTTTCGAAATTGCTGTTGGTATGAAAGCTGCAGAAAAAGAGACCAATGCATTTCAAAATGAAGTATCAACTACCCATAAAGTGACAAAAGGTCGTCAGATTGCTACCGCTGCAGAAAACCTGGACATAGTGCGAATATTTGTTTCTATAAGAATTCAAGATGTCATAAGTGCAAGGAAATTAGACATATTAGTAGAAAATGCATGAAATCGTTACCGAAAAACGAAATTTAAGACAACGTTAAAAGGAAATATAAAAAGAACACAAAATTTAAAGCGAAACTGTAGTAATTTCACCAGAATCGATATCAGAACCGGACGAAAACTAATTGGAAGTGTTCACTGTCAAAACATGAAGAACATCCGATAACAAATAACTGAAGCTAGATGTCAAGATTGAAGATGTTGATTACGTTATGGAATTAGATACAGGTGCAGCATTATCAATTATTGGAGAAGAAAAGTACAAAAATCACTTTTCGCGTATCAAATTGCGGATGAGCAATGTCAAATTGAACACCTGTCCAGGAAATCAAATCACAGTTATTGGTGAGGTAAATGTCAATGTGGTTGATGAAAAACAAACAGAACAGAAACATTGCCGTTAATCGTTGTAAAAGAGGGATCGTCTCTATTTGGAAGGAACTGGCTGTCAAAATTAACTGTAGATTGGAAACATACCAGATCAGTGACTACACCTTCTTCAGTTAAAGACAAGGTCAATGCATATGAACGTTTTCAAAGAAGAATTAAGTACAGTGAGAGGAATGCAGGTGTCGTTAAGGTGCCGACAGGTTTTAAGCCACGACTTATATCGTATACTTTGCGTAACAAAGTCGCAGATGAAATCTAATGTCTTGAAAAGCAAGATATTATTGAGAAATCCGAATGGGGGCAGGGGGAGAATTGTTCCTGTAAAAAAACAGATTGAAGTGTACGTATTTGCGGAGATTATAAAGTTACCATCATTTCATGTTAAGAAGTACCTCAGTACCCATTACCAAAGGCTGATGATTTGTTTTCGAGATTAAATGGTGGTCAGAAGTTTTTAGAATTGGATTTATCTCAGGCATATCAATAACTACATATGAAAATCCCGAAATCTAGTGACGATTAATACGCATTTATGATTATACCGCTATACGAAATTACCGTTTGGTGTTTCTTCAAGTCCTGCAATTCTCCAAGAATTTATGGATAAAGTTCTTGAAGGATTAGATGGAGTGGGATTATTCTAGATCATTTGATAATCAATGGAAAAAGTGAAAAAAATTCATTTGAAAAATTTAGAATCAGTGTTAAAACTCCTATGTTGGTATGGATTAAGGCAGAACAAATCTAAATATTCTCTTATAAAACCAGAAGTGAAATTTTGCATTTAATGTGAATATAGATGGTATTCAACAATCTCCGGAAAAAGGGGAAGCTATGTTAAATGTTCCCGAGCCAGAAATTGTGAAAGAATTGCAATCTTGGCTTGCATTAGTGAATTATTATAGGAAATTTATTCCTGATATGTCAACAGTGTTACAACCGTTAAATGAGTTGTTAGCAAAGCAGGCTAATTGGAATTGGAATAAAAATTGTAAGAAATCATTTCTGACAATTAATAAATTGTTGAGCTCTACAAAAGTGTTAGCTCATTATGATCGAAATTGGAATGTTAAATTAGCCGTTGATGCATCTCCATATGGTTTAGGTTGTGTAATTTCACATAGATATTAAAATAGAGTAGAACAAGAAATTACGTATGCGTCGCGCACTCTAACAGGTGCTGAAAGAGAAGCGTTAGGTAATAATTTTGGAGTTTTCATCAGTATTTGTATGGAGGAAGGTTCACGTTGATAACTGACAAACATACCCTGTCGTTACCACTTGGACCAAAAACTTGAATACCGATGTTAGCTGCTTCATGCATTCAAAGGTGGACAATTCTACTTAGTGGATGTCAGTACAATGTAAAGTGCATAATGTACAGCAAAAATTCATACGCTGATGGATTATTTAGACTGCCGTTGAAGGAAACCCTGTGTGAATCGCCGTTTAACATTTACTGGGAACAAGTGGAGAATAGAAATGAACAAACTGTGTACGAAATACCAGTCAATGTGAAGAATATTAAAAGAGAAACCGGTAAAGCGTCAACTCTTGTAAAAGTTACACATGCTAAATTGTATGATTGACCGAAATATACAGATTTTTCCAACCGAGTTGAAACCGTTAAAACCGTATTATCGAGTCAAAGAGCTGCCAAGGCTGTTTATTACGCGGAATACGAGTAATCACTCCTGAAAGATACAGAACTGATGTACTAAATAGTCATCACTGCAACCCACGATGAATATATAGCAACAAATAAATTGTATTATAATAAGGGCATGTACGTATGTTCTAAAGTTAATAAACAAAATCATGGCAAAATGTTGTTTTTTAAGAAATATAAAACAGACTGAGGGTCAAACCATTTTCAAATTGTGCCATTTTCCCTTACTATTTTGATTTGTTTGTATTTTTTGCCATATTTCAACGCAATGTGGTGTCATTTACTCTTTCTGAGAAAACAAAACATCCACCATAAAGGCCAGTATACCTTTGTTCTAATCGTTTTTATGATTGAATCGTCAATTTTGCAGTTGAATCTGCGATTTAATACTCTAAATACTTCAAGACGGGTTACACTCCCCTTTCCGCTGATTTTCCTTTTAATTATTAAAATGAGCTGTTGTTTCCTTGTTCAAACACTATATTTTCATTTCAAATACACTTTCAACTTAAATAGTACGTGTTGCGTTTGCAGTACTATTAGATAAGAGTATAACTATTTTCAAAGATTTGGTTGAAAACAAAAACGAGAGGTAGGTCCGTAAAACAATAGATTAGGGTATTTTATCAATTCAGTAGTGCTAAAACATTTTTTTCTCATCTAGCGCTATAGTGTAATACACATATTTGATATCTTCTGTATTGAAATAAAATCAAATTTAATAGGTCATCTTTCACCCTTAAATTTTTTCCGTCAGTAGTCAGTATTCTTTTGTATTTGTTTTACTGCTTATTGTTATAATCTCGTGTTGCCGTTGTGGGCCCATTAATTCGGAATAATAGATATTCGATTTTTAAGTTACACTGCAGGGTAAATACATGTATCCAATGTTTCAATTTAAATCAAATGGAAACAAACATTCACGTATTCCAACAGTGTTATGTAATTCATGCCAACCTGAAGGGATTGAGCTGTCAAGCCTCGTGATGGACTGAGCCCTAAACTAATACACCTTATCGCTATTTATCCGCCATTACTGGACATCACACAAGTTCCCGTAAAATTTTGACGTCATAATAGAAATATCTGACGCCACAATGGAAAAGTGATTGTTGTATGACGTCAAAAGTTCGAGCGGGACTGATTCTCGGGTCAAGCGGGATTAGCGATAAGGTGTATTAATTTAGCTTAAAATATCTATACTGCTTATGTTAATCTTTCATATGTTGACAAGTTGGACCCCTGGATTGATAATGTTTGTAATTGCCTTATCAACCTTCTATAATATTTAATTGAAACATAAATTTGCATACTTCTACTTGTAATTCTATACCATGCTGAAATAAAGACCGTTGTGCTATAGGTATAAGTTCAAAATCTGCATCAGGGAATAACAGTCCTACTGTGAGTTTGTCATTTAACATAAAATAATAATGTCAAATATGAGGAGCATTTATTGCTGAAAGCACAGAAAAATTACATTCCAGTTAGGAATAAAAGAACTTTTAGTTTTGATTGAAAAATGTATCCTGACAAACTATTGATGAATATGTTCTCCAAAACAGAATATATAATTTTCTAAAATATAATGCTTTATACTTCCTACCTCTTTAAAAATGAATGATTTCCGATACTATTTTTAAATCATTTACAATAATGTTTGCCTTGGCTAGAAGTATATTTTACAATTGAGGAGATCCATTTTGTTAAATGGTTATGTTTATTAATTATAAATCTTCAACCAAAGTT